CTAAGGACCTGAGTTTGGTTCTTAGGATCCATAAGCTGAGAAAACTGACTCTACAAAGATGCCTTTTGAACTGCACATGCCAGCCATGGTGTTCACATGACTGTGCATCGGTGCACATACAAATATATATACTTCAACAGCCAGGATTTCCTTTTCTTTCCTTAAACCCCAGAGCCTCCCGCAGGTTCAGCTACATTACACCACTCAGTGTACACTGAGTTGTACCTCCAGCTCCAGGATTTCCTTCTCTCTTATTATTCTACAAACCTCTTCCCACCTTTATTTTTCTGAGACAGGGTTTCACTGTGTAGACTCTCCAGGCCTGGAACTCCCTATGTTGATCAGGCTGGCCTCAAACTCACAGAGATACACACACCTCTGCCCCCCAGAGTGCTGGGGTTAAAGACCTGGCTCTCGTTTGGTTGAGACAAGGTCTCATGAAATCCAGGCTGACATGGATCCTCCTGTCTCAGCCTCTTAAGTAGCTAGGACAACAGCATACATTTCAGAACCTGGCTCCTACTCATTCTTTGTTAGCTCAATTGAGGTCATTCATTTAGCAAACATTTATTGATCACATTATATATGCTAGGTAAAATTTGGTTCTGGGAATATTGTATTAATATAACATTTTAGTGGAAAAGAAATAATGTTCAAATAAATGAATAACCATACATTAAGATAACATTAACAATGCTAACATTTAGATGTGTGCCCCGTACCAGGCACTGACTATGCTGAGGGGTTTATGTGTTCTTTTATTTTATACTTCTAATGAACTCATGATACAGTGTTATTATTTCTGTTTCATACTTAGGTGTACTGAGGCATGTACAAAATACCTAATACTTTAAGGTTATACAGCTGGATAGTGAAGAAGACAACTTGAATTCAATTTGACATCAGTGTGTCCCCTTGCTTCTGTTCTACTGCTTCTCTTTTAAGGAGGCTTCAGCTGATAAGGGTTACAGGAAAAATAATCAAGGCTAATCTGAACATAACTGGACACTAGGAGTTAGTTGATTTAGAGATTGTCTAGATGGCCTTCCTGAGCCAGGTGCTGTGACACAGACCTGTAATGTAACATTCCAGAGGGCTCTGAGTTCAAGACCACCCTAGGCTTTGAGTAATGTAGACTACAGGTTTGTACCACCATATGCAGATCTATCTATCTATCTGTTTGTCTGTCTATCCATCCATTCATCTATCCATCCATCCATCTATCTATGTAACCCTGGCTTTCCTGAAACTCACTATGTGCACCAGGTTGGTCTACAGAGAGCTGCCTGGTGCTGTCTCCTTAGTGCTGGCATTAAAGGCTTTCGCTACTATGACTTGCTCCACACCTAGATTTCTTTTCTTCCTTTTTTCTTTTTTTTTCTTTTTTTTTTTTGTTGCTTTTGAGACAGGGTTTCTGTATGTAACAGTTTTGGCTGACCTGGAACTCACTTTGTAGACCACATTGTCCTCAAACTCACAGAAATCTGCTTACCTCTGCCTCCTGAGTATAGATCTTTTTTAAAAAAAAAAATGATAATATTCTAATTTGTTGGAATACTTTTACAAAAAGACACAAATGGTATTTTTCTGTCTAGTTCACCTGGGAAAGATAGGTTAATGGTGGATTCTTTCCTTTTATTGCCCAGTTTTCAACTTAACTTAATTCCTTATCATGAGAGGTGATCTGAAATCTGGACAAAAATTACTCTAGACAGGAGGAACTGATAGCTCAGAGACACTAGAGAGTGAACTGTGTTGTGCTCAAGAACACAGAAGAGGCCTGCAGTGATGGCTCAGCCATTAAGAGTACCTGCTGACCTTACAGTGGAGTTCAATTCCTAGTACCCACATCAGGGGGCTCAGAACTGCCTGGAACTCCAGGTCCAGAGGGATCCCCATTTCTCACATCCAAGGGTGCCTAAACTGCCCACACACACAAATCAAATTAAAAGAAGTCTTATGTAGAAAAGAACAGAGAAGACCACATTACTTCTTCACTTCCACCTATGGAGCTTTCTCTCAAGTTCATGCACATACTGCCCGTTCTCGTCAGCAGAGCTACTTAGTCTGGACCATGTTTTGTTTTAATCCAGACATAATAGTACACACGGGTAGTCCCAGGTGAGAGTGCTGCAAAATAGCTAAAGTCAAATGTTAAGGCCATCCTGGCCATCATAAGCCTGTCTCCTTAAGAAAAGACGTGTAGCTGTCAAGATGTGTTAAGGGAATACGTTACTTTTACAGAGGACTAGACAGAGTTTGAGTCTCAGCACCCACATGGCAGCTTACAACCATTTTGAGTTCCAGAGGATCTCATACCTTCTTCTGACCTTCAGGGGCACTAGGTACACATGTAACACACAGAGATACACACAAAGACAAGACATGTATGCATGCAATAAATAGATTTTAAAAAGGATTATGGGTCCATGTCACCACTCTTTTTGTTGTTTTTTTTGAAATGGGGCCTCTCTGTGTAATAGTCCTGGCTGTTCTGAAACTTGTGTTGTAGACTAGGCTAGTCTTGAACTAACAGAGATCCTCTTGCCTCTGCCTCCTGAGTGCTGGAATTAAAAGCATGCACCACTGCTACCATAGGGCTCCATGTCACCATTCTTGGATACAGTATTTACTGGCAATTTTTTCATCTTAGTCTTTTCTTTTTTTTTGTCATGACGAGGTCTTGCTATGTAGCCTTGTCTGGCTTTGAACTTGCACCAATCAGCCTGCCTCTGCCCCCTGAGGGTAGGGATTACACACACGAGTCACAACACCTGCTAAATAGGTAGGTGTGTCTGTTTATTGGAACAAGGTCTCTATACAACTCTGGCTGTCCTGAAACTAACTGTTGACCAGGCTGGCCTCAAATTCACAGATTCCTGTCTGTCTCTGCATCCTGTGTACTAGAATTAAATATGTCTACCACCATGCCTGACTCATCAAAACATTTTCACCAATAATTGTGGAGAATTTAAAAATTTGATGATAAAGGGATTATCTAAAAATTTTTTTCATTTTATGTGTAAGAGTATTTTGTCTGCATAATATGTCTGTGCAACACTATCTTTCAGCCCAATGATAAATATTCTTCTTTTAAAACAACAAAGTACCTAGATGTGGTGGCACACACCCTTAAACATAGCACTCCACAGTCAAAGTTAGGCAGATCTCTGTGAGTTAAGCCAGGGTGGTCCACTAACTATGAGACCCAGCCAGAGCTACCTAGTGAAACCCTGTCTAAGTAAATAAAACCTGCAGCTGCAGGCTGGTAAGATGGATTACTGAGTGAAGGCAACTGTCCCCAGGACTGATGGACTGATGGTGAGAGGAGAACCAACTTCTTCATGTTGTTTTCTAATCTCCACACAAGCACCACGGCAGGCCCTAGAGTTCTCCCAACACACACAGAACAAGTAAATATAATTTCTTTTAATTGAGAAAACAAAAACTTCAGTCACCGCTAAGAGCTGTCTTCGTGCCCTCTGAGAACATGCAAAGTCTAAGATCCTTTCAGGATCTTTGAAGAAGAGCATCCCCCAGCCTCCTAGTCCGCCCCTTTGTCCAGCCTAACTGGGACCAGGAGCCACCACAGCCCTACTACCTCTAAGTGAAGACACTCTCGCAGGTGTACTTGACTTCCCACTCCCTGGCAGCAGCCACTTCAGTGGTACTGCCTCTGGGACTCCGTCATCCACTGCCCTCTCTCTCTCTTTCTGCTCCTAAAGTCCCAGGTCACTGCTAGAGGGAGAACCAGGAAGACAAATAGAAATCTGTGCTGTCCACTTTCAAGTTGGCCCTTGCAGCTGCTCAGCAACCCTTTATTTGTCCCCTGCATTCCCTGGCACTCTCTCTCCCACAGACAGGGCTGTTCAGACCATCCGTCTTCTTCTGAAACTACAAATTCCTGTGTCGCTCCTACTTCAAAAGACTCCATGCTGGATACTCTGATCAGATTAACTGTTCCATCTGCAACAAAATAGTATTATCTGTCTGCCTTCCAGCCCTTTCTCTTACCTATCCAGTTTCCTTCCTGGAAAAGCAATCAACATTATTTCTCTCATTTATTCATCCTTAGATATTTCATGACCCTATCATAAAAATATGGAAACAAGAGAATGTATATTGGTCGTTATATATGAGAAGAGAGAAAGGGATTCCAACAGAGGACTTATCCTGAGCAAAGGCACAGAGGGAACTAAGATATATTTAGAAAACAGAAGTAGTGAATAGAGTAATGCCCTGAGCAATAATCCCAGCTGCTGCCTCAACTGCTGTTTCTCTTTTTCCAGCTCTGACTTCAGCCTGAATGTCCCTTGCCTGGCCTGGTCCACATACCAGCTGTGTGGAAATTTGACACTATGAGGCCCCTTGTGCATCCTACCTTCCCTAGACCTCTGTTACTATTTATTGAGCTTTGACCCCAACCATCTGTTTCAGTCCTGGTAAAGAGGTCTGAGTTTCGTTCTGAGTCACGCTCCAAGCCACTGAGCAGTCTTCCCTTTCCTTTGTCACATGGACAATTTCTCTACACCACTAAAAGCAGGACAATGAATACAAGAGACACTTTTATAAAAATGTTAATACAAGGAGGTCAAAAGAAGAGATTAAACTGTACAACAGACATACAGTCAATAAAACCCAGGCTTCAAAAGAACCGAGAAACTGTCCAACTTCTTCAGTAAAAACCTTACAAGTGCACAGTTCCAATTCCAACACTCAGAAGGACAAGGCAGAAAGAGAACAAGTTCAAAGCCGCCCTGGGCTAGTAGTGAGTTTAAATTTAGCCTGAGTTGCATAGTAAGATTCTTAAAATAATTGCAAGAAAGTAAAACAGGAAGAATATGAACCTTTAGTGGCATACATGGTACTATAAACCCGGTCAAAAGCTTAGGGCTGGGAAAGCTACCCACTACTGGCCTTTTGCTAACTGGGCATGTGTCCATCCCAATACCTTCTAAATAACTCTGCGTATGTTCATTGAACATTAATGCTGTCAGTCTTGATCAGAGAACTTCTTTTTACAGTGGTCAGCAGTGACTGCAGACACTAGTCAAAGTGCTGAGAATAAGTGATTGCTGAGTGATCAGCCATAAATGGGACATCTTATATCAGGAAACACAGGAGCAGACAGTGGGAAGAATGAGGAGATGGAGGGAAGATGAAGGATGCTCACCCCCAGACACATCATGGCTGTTGCACTCTCTGATGACCTTCAAAAGGTAGAGTCTGCCATCATCCTCATAGAAGGCGACAGCTTATGGACCCACCCCTCCCCGAGATTTTTTTTTTAACTTTGAGACAGGGTTTCTCTGTGTAGCCCTGGCTGTCCTAGAACTCAATCTGTAGACCAGGCTGGCTTTGAACTCAGAGATCCACCTGCCTCTGCCTTCTGGGTTTAGGATTAAAGGTGTGCGCCACTATGTCAGGTTCCTGAGGATTTATATATATTTAACAGTTAAATATAAATATAAAAGTTAAATATAAACAGTTAAAGGGAAGAGAGATATGTTCTCCAGTGATAAAGCCATTTATAAGTTGCTCATGCTCCAGTAAACAATTCTAATACAACTTACTGGATCACACCAACTGGGAAGATGAAGGGGATTAGCAGAAGTGGAAAGGTTACAAGAGTAATGTTGTGTGTGTGTGTGTGAATATGATCAGATGCATCATATATACATATGAAAATATCATAACAAAATCCATTATAATATATAATATGTGTTAATTAAATTTGGGTAGTGATTCAAGCAAAGAAGCTATATTTTTACATTTATGAAATGTGCAAATACCAATTTGGTATTGGGTGTCATTTATTTTATGTGCTAATGACATTACAATTAGAATTTTTACTTTTACAGACACACACTGAAATCTCTAAGTTTGGAATGATATACTGTCTGGGATTCTCTCCAAAATAAAGGAAATGGATGAAAAGATACTTGGAATAAGACTGGCCAGAAATTGGTATTCCTTCTGGGTGCATGGTAAATGATTCTTTATGCGATTCTGCCTACTTTTGTCTGTGCTGTAAATTCTTCACACACACAAAAGTTTTCTAACAATGTTGTGGAATTCTAAGCATCTGATGGAAGTCTCTATATTAGTCTAAAACGGTAGACCAGAAGGAAGGGAATTAAGATGAGGGCTGTCTGAACAGCCCTGTCTGTGGGAGAGAGAGTGCCAGGGAATGCAGGGGACAAATAAAGGGTTGCTGAGCAGCTGCAAGGGCCAACTTGAAAGTGGACAGCACAGATTTCTATTTGTCTTCCTGGTTCTCCCTCTAGCAGTGACCTGGGACTTTAGGAGCAGAAAGAGAGAGAGAGGGCAGTGGATGACGGAGTCCCAGAGGCAGTACCACTGAAGTGGCTGCTGCCAGGGAGTGGGAAGTCAAGTACACCTGCGAGAGTGTCTTCACTTAGAGGTAGTAGGGCTGTGGTGGCTCCTGGTCCCAGTTAGGCTGGACAAAGGGGCGGACTAGGAGGCTGGGGGATGCTCTTCTTCAAAGATCCTGAAAGGATCTTAGACTTTGCATGTTCTCAGAGGGCACGAAGACAGCTCTTAGCGGTGACTGAGGTTTTAATTGGTAGCCACTTGACCTCAAGCAACCTATGCAATCCATTTCTTCCTTGTATCTCTTTGTGTGTGTGTGTGTGTGTGTGTGTGAGATTGTAACTAAATGCAGGACTTTGGGCACACTCTATCTTTTCTTCTTTTTCCTTCTGTTTTTTTGAGAGAGTCTCATGTAGCCCAGGTTGGCCCTTGTGCACTATGTCTTCAGTTCCTCATCTATCTTCCTGTATCCAACTCCTGAGTGTTGGCTTTACAGGTGTGTGCCACCATGCCTGATTTTTGTGGTGTTTGTACTAGAACTTAGGACCTCCAAAGCTAGCTAAGTGTGTTGCCAATGGAGCCACATGTCTCACCCCATTTCCTTCTTTATGCCTTGGCTACTTAATATGTAAGGGGTTGGAAAATGGGATGGTGATAAACACATGTAATTCTAGTGCTCAGGCTAAGATAGGAGGATCACAAATTCAAGGTCAGCCTATGCTAACTAGTGAGATCTGAGTAAGCATGAGCTATTATATAGTAAGATCTTGTGTCAAAAAGGAAACAATCAAAAATTAAGCAATGAAAAATAGGCTACTAATACCTACGTCAGAACAGTTCCAGGGATTAGGTAAAATAATTTGAGTAGAAGCTGGTAGCACAGTGGACAAGCAAATGACAGCCCTCTCATCTTGAAGCTGATACAAAGCTTCAGTGAAAATACTATCACCTCATAGAACATCAAAACCTGACAGTCAAGAAATTGAACCTTTCTCTTTCCTTCCTAGACTTTTTTCCCCCTTTGGTGTTTTGAGACAGGTCACACTGTGTAGCCCTGGCTGGCCTGGAACTTCCTACATAGACCAACCCAAAGAGGTTGCATCTCCCTCCCTAGTACTGGAATTAAGGGGATACACCATCATGCCTGGCTCTCTGGGTTTTTGGTTCTTTTTTCCTTTGTTGTTGTTTGGTTTATTTGTTTTTGTGTTCTAGGGTTTTCTTTTTTGTTGTTTTGGGTGTTTTATTTTGTTTTGTTGAGACAGGGTTTCTTTGTGTAACATCCCTAGCTATGGTGGGTTTCATATTCAAGGCTATCTTGGATAGTATAGTAAGACCATGCTTCAGTAAAAATCAGAAAAAAAATCTCAAAGTCTCAGAGACCTGGGATGTGAGAGGCTCCCAGGACTCAGTGGGGGTGACCTCATCTGAAATGCCCAGCAGTGGGGAGATGGGACCTAAAGACACTACCTCCAATAGATAGACAGGGACTCCAGTGGAGGGATGAGGACACCCACCCATCGTCAAAATTTTTGACCCAGAATTGTTCCTGTCTAAGGGAAATGCAGGGACAAAATGGAGCAGAGGTTAAAGAAAAGGCCACCCAGTGACCGGCCCAACTTTGGATCTATTCCATGTGCAGACACCAAACCCTGACACTATTACTGATGCCAAGATGTCTTTGCAGACAGGAGCCTGGCATGCTTGTCCTCTGAGAGGCTCTACCAGCAGCTGACTGAGACAGATGCAGATACTTAAAGGCCAATTATGGGACTGAGGTTGGGAACCCATATGGAAGAGTTATGGGAAGGATTGAAGGAGTTGAAGGGGATGACAACCCCATAGGAAGACCAACAGTGTCAACTAACCTGGACCCCTGGGCTCCCAGAGACTAAGCCACCAACCAAAGAGCATATGTGGGCTGGTCTGAATCCCCCTGACACATAGGTAGCAGAGGACTGACTGTCTTGTCTGGCCCCAGTGGGGAAGGATGTGCCTAATCTTGTAGAGATGTGATGCTCCAGGGAAGGGGGATGCTGCGGGTGGGTGATGTGGGGGTGGGTGAGCACCCTCTCAGAGGAAGAGGGGAGGGGAGATGGGGTGAAGAACTCTGGGAGGGAGGACTGGGAAGGAGGGCAATGTTTGGAATGTAAATAAATAAGATAATGTAATAAAAGAAGGAAAAGGAAAAAACTCTCAGTGAATAGAAAGGATAGAGTAGTAAGAGTAATAGTAAATATTTTACATGATGCTTATTAGATTTGTCACAAGGGAAGATGTGGGCCAGAGATAAAAGGGTGAGTGAACGCTCTACATGAGATGTTTGAGGTCATAGGCAAACTGCATGTCTGGAAGAAGAGTCACATAAGAGAAAGGCCAGATAGAAAAAGAGGCTGAACTGGAGTGGTCAGAGTGGCAGGACAACAATGAAGAATGGGCCTGGGAAGCCTGTGGATGAAAGGGGTCTCAAGGAAGAAACCATCTTCAGTGTCACAGTTTGCTTCTTAGGTCAAGGAAGATAGACTAAACATATCCGTTGGATTTAGTGACTTGGTGGCCAACTATGACCTTATCATAAACTGAGGTTTGGAGGCCAGATTCAAATGTACAGAATGGGAGCGGGTAAACAAGCAGCCGGGCACAATGACAAACATCTATAATCCTAGCACTTGGGAGATGGAGGCAGGAGGACCAGACATTCAAGGTCTTCCTTGACTCAACTGCATAGCAAGTTTGAGGCCAACCTGAGCTACATGAGACAAACAAACAAACAAAAAGAAACAAAACAAAAAATAAAGACAGGAAGGATGTATATGGGTGGGGGTGGGTAATAAAAGGCTCAGGATATAGCTCCTTGGTAGCCACACTTAACCTTAGCACTACAAAAGAAAAAGAAGATGGAAAGAGAATACTGTTGCCTCCAAAAGAAAAAGAGAAGGGAGTGACTTAGTAGTTAAGAGAGGAGTAGGAACTCAAGAGAAACTGTTTTTAAGACTGGGTAGATTTGACCATGTTTAGACATCTCAATGAAAGGGGAAGGCTGATTAAACAGGAGTTAAAATAGTACCAGAAGGCTTCTAGAAAGGTGTAAGGGGATCCGATCAGATACAAGCATAATGGGTAGAAAGAGGAGGTGTAAGGTCCAGGGCTGTAGCTTAGCAGTAAAGTACTTGCCTAGCAATCACAGGGCCCAGGGCTCAGTCTACACACGGCCCAAGATTAAAGAACAAGCGTAAAAGCAGGTAAGGAAGAGGATTTGTGTTACTGTGAGCAAAGGTCGATCTGATAGTAGGAAAGGAGGCTTGAGAAGATTCTCACAAAGCCCTTAGTACAAGGCCCAGCATGTTAGTTTGTGTAAACCAGAAAAGTAACCTATAGATGCTATTATTGTTAGGAGTTGAAAATAGGAGATAGGCCTCGTTAGAGTAAGCAGGTGACAGGGCTATAGCCCTCAATGGTATACGTGTTGAAGGTCCCTCACTGCCTCTGGTCTGCCAGGAGGTGAGCTGCTTTTCTCTACCACATCCTGACCACCTCTCCATACATGGAGAAGCAACAGAATAACCAGGGACTGGAACTAGGAGCAATAAAATATTTTCTTTTTACAAAATAAATAAATAAGGCTGGAGATGTTGGTGAAGTGTATGTTGTGTAAGTATGAGGACATCAGTTTTGATTGTCAGTACCCACATAAAAGTCATTCTAAGCTGGGTGACATAGCACGTGCCTTTAATTGCAGCACTCAGGAGGCTGAGGCAGAAGGTCCTCCACGACTTTATGGCCAGCTTGATCTACTTTGCAAGTTCCAGGACATCCAAGGTGACACAGTTAAGACCTTATTTCAAAAGGATAAATAATAAAATAAAAGCCATCCCAGCATTGAGAAGGCAGAGATTGGGGGGGGGGGTGTCCCTGAAACTGAAGCTCCCTGGCTCCCTGGCCAGATAGTAATGAATTAGACATTCAGTGAGACAGTCTTTAAACAAATTAAGGTGAGGAAGATACTTGATGTTGACCTCTGGTCTCCACACACATGCACACAGAACATGCATTTGCATGTACACATGTATACATGTACACATGGTAGCTGTGGGCTACTGTTTTTACTATGCAGATAACACGATTGGAAATGTCTTATACTTTATGCTTTGGTTTTATAAAATGAACTAGGATCATACTTCATTAACACTAAATATTTGACACTTTATATATAAACTTTATATACAAGAATTACCTGGATTTTTTTTTAATCCTTACCTCCTTTCTCTTTAGGATTTCAGGACAGTTGTTGTTATCCTAATTTTGAGAAGATAGAAAAATGTTACGGTTAAGATTAATGGATATTATGTATCATTCTATAGTCATTTTACTTCAAACTTCTATGAAACCAATACTAGCTGGCCTTGAACTTATTATATAGCCCATAGTAGTCTCAAAGTTGCCATGTTGCTCAGCTTGGCCAGGAATATATGCATGATCTTCCTGCCACAAGGTCCCAAGTACTAAGAGTATAGGTATGTACTACCATACCTGGTTGCAGGGGTGGTGGTGGTGGGGTTGTTGTTTTGCTAGTATCTCATATAGTCTCTCAGTGGCCTGGAATTCACTCTTGAACTGC